TGGCTCAGGTATGACGATCCATGCCAATTGCCAGCTACAATTACGCAAACTAACTGCAATTACACATATTAGAATTAGGAAAAAGAAACCCGAACTGAATCAGCAGCAGCGCACCCGAAATAGTAATACGATCCAAAATTGTATTGCCATTAGCGCTGCGGCTCATTAGCAAGAAGCTGACGCAAGAAAAAAAGAAAAAAAAAAAACCCTAAATTCCAAGTTACTTTACACTAATGAAAAGCAGGTGAAAAATGAAGGAAAACAAAATTGGCAAAAAATAATTACGCATATGTGCAGGTAGCAGGAGGCCCCCACCTGAAGTGGAGCATGCCCGAAAAACCGCGTGGCGGCTGCTGTTGTTGTTGTTGCTGTTGCTGCTGTTGCTGCTGTTGCTGTTGCTGCTGCTGCTCGGGGAAGACAATGCGGTTGCCTATTCACATGTGCAACTATAATTACAACAACGTGGCAACACATGCTTCGTGCCATCCAAAAGGATGTCAGACCGCATCAAAGTCACACACACACACATAGACACACGCAGTGCATCACAGTCAAGTACCGTTAGCTATAACTGTTTGCTGCAGTGCACTTGGCAGCACTTGCTTAATACATTTTTCGCCAGCTGCCGCCGACTGGGCTCGACTATTATTTCGCTACCTTGGCAAACCCATTAGGTTAATAAGTAGAAAACCGAGTGGGTCGGCAGAGGACGAGAAGAGAACATCATGAAGAGCAAAAAAAAAAAAGAATTGAAACTATGCGCGTGAGACGCGCCAATGGTAAATACGCCGCAAACACTGCCCCGCCTCGGTCAGCCCGTTTCCAGGTGCTCCAGCTGCCCGGCTGTCCGTTTTTGTATTTTTGCTTATTTTTGTTGTTGTTGTATCTTGCCTGGTCGGCCATATTTAAAGCGTCCGTAAGCGCAAAAAAAATTCCGCCAGACTTTTGAGTTGAAGCTGCGCCAGCTAGAGCGCTGCTGCTGCTGCTGCTGTTGCTGCTCTCTGGCTGCTAGAAAACTGGCAACGTTGCATGCCATAAAAACGACTGGCCATGCGACGACATTTTTATGGCAACGCCAGCAACAACGCCACAGATCGATATGTAGCGCAAGCGAATGCGCTGTATATTGCTAGCTCAGTCGCGCGCAGCGTTCATTGGCGCTTGTCGCTGCGCATAATCCAAGCGAGCAACGAAAGCAACACCAACACACGCACACACACACACACACACACACATGTAGCAACAGCAACACAGGCCGCGCATAGCGTTTATTTGATTTATTAGCGTACAGAGCAGTCACTACCGTTGTCTCTTTTTAACGCTCACGCCTGCCGGCTGCACAGTGCAACTGGTTTGCAAATGCCGTCACACACAGGCACACACACTGGCGCACCGCACTATACCCGTTTGACTAGCCACCCTGAACATACACACGTATGCATGCGCGTGTGCTTGTGTGCGTGTAGCTCTGCGGCAAACGGCCTCAGTCTCAGCTGCTGGCAAGTCAGTCTCTCATTCGTCTCTCGTATTCGCTGTCGTCAGCACACGCGCACGCAACGAGCAACGGATTCGAGAGTTTCGTGTACGAGTTTTCGCCCTCACCTCGTCCAGCACACACACACACACACACGCGCACATAACGAAATACACATATATATTTATATATATATATATATACGCACGTCGTCGGTTATTCGCTTCGGTGACGGCGCTCGTTAACGCTTGGGAACAGGTTTCGCCGCTGTCCGTTCGCTCAACGGCGAAACAGAAAGGTGCTCAATTCCGCGTTGTGTGGAGGTATTTTTCGACGTCTCACGCAACGCGCTGATTTTTTGCCCAAATAGCAAAACTTCCCAAAAAAAAAGCAGATAATTACAAAGAAAGAAAAAACAACACAAAAACTTAAACAAATTTGTCAAAGCACATTTCGCGACGCGTTTTAATAAACAAATTTCAAGTGTTTTTGCGTTCAAAATAAAACAAGAAAAAATAATAGCTAAAGCAAATAGCAAAAGCTGTTGCAAAAGGCGAAAAGAAAAATTAAGATATATATCTATATATCATATACCTGCAAATATATGTGTGTCAATTGCCAAAACTTGTGGCGATTCCGAACAAATTCAAGTAGATAAATCAAAAAGAAATTCCAACAAGTGCAACATGGTTTCCCTAACAAATGTTCAAACAACTCATAGCCAATAAAATAAATAACTGATAAAGAAAAAACAACAAAAAATATTAATCAAAATTTAAAATACAAACAACTTTAACTAATTGAGCTCCGCATAGTAACTGGACTAAGGCAACTGTAAAAGTGGCAAACATCAAAAGTATCTGCAAGATACAAACGTGCATTTAACGGATTTAACACTAATTGAAGTGCTCTGGAGACTTTGAGGCGCCTACAGGTGCTTACGAAGAGTCGAAAAGTATCTGCGACAACTCAACTCAGCTACAAGAAAAAAGGAAGAGATACAAAAGTATCTTTCAGTTGCAAAAGTACTTTGATACGCAACGCATTGGAAAGAATCTACAGCTAAAGCATAGATATCCATGAGATACACAAAAGTATCTGCAAGTATTTAAAGTTGTTGTTGCCAGAATAAAAGTATCTACAGCTAAACAAAGGCAGCTGAAGCATCTGTATCTATGACATGCAAAAGTATCTGCAACAGAGCAAATGTATCTATTGATATTTATATAGTATCTAAATCACACTAGATACAATTCAACGGAGAATATTTGCCAGCATTGCGTTAGCTTAATGCCTAGCGCTTGAGAACCAATTGCCCAAGAGCCACAACAACAACAGCAGCAGCAGCAGCGACAAACGACAGCAAATAGATACGCAACAGCAACCACAACGCTTGCAACGATGCTGACGATGGAAGCGGACATGAAGTGCGGCATCCTGCCCGGCCAAATGCCGCCGCTGCACGGGCATGCACATGCCGCAGCTGCGGCCACATCATACTCGGCATTGGCGCCGCTGATGAATCTGGGCCCCTCCCATCTCACCCACTCGCACCTCAGCCAGCACAACCACCATCATCACCATCACCATCATATGAGCGCCCACATCGCGGCCAGCCAGAGTCCGAATCCGCTCAGCTCGCTGCAGTCGAGCATTGCCAATACGCTGAACGGCGCCACGCAACAGCAGCAGCAGCAGCAGAGCTCGCCGCTGCACAGCTCCAGTGAGCTGAGTCCGACGCAGAGCAGCATTGGCAGCCATCACATGACCTCACCCGTTAGCCATCATCAGCAGCAGCAACAGCAGCAGCAGCAGCAACAACAGCAACAGCAGCAGCAACACTCGCAGCATCCGTCGCTGATGGGCGCTGGCAGTGCTCTGAGCAGCATGACCGCCGGCAGCAACAACAACAACAACAACAACAACAGCGCCACAGCGAACAAGAATCAGCAGCACGCGGATCGCGTGAAGCGGCCAATGAATGCGTTCATGGTGTGGTCACGCGGCCAGCGTCGCAAAATGGCCTCCGACAATCCAAAGATGCACAACTCAGAGATATCGAAGCGCCTGGGCGCCCAGTGGAAGGATCTATCGGAGGCGGAGAAGCGGCCCTTCATCGATGAGGCGAAACGTCTGCGCGCCGTCCACATGAAGGAGCATCCGGATTACAAATATCGTCCGCGTCGCAAGACCAAAACCCTGACCAAAACCAAGGAGAAGTACCCAATGGGCGGCGCTGGGCTGATGCCCGGCCAGGGTCCGCCCGGCGGCCAGGTGGGCGATATGCCCGGCACACCGACACGCCTCGGCCAGCAGGTGGGCGGCGGCGTCGGTGGCATGTCACAGAATCAGACGAGCGGCGCATCGGCAGCGGCTGCTGCGGCGGCTGCTGCTGCCGCGGCCGCCCAACAGGTGCGCCCGAACATCCATCAGATGGGCGTGCCCAATGGCTACATGCCCAACGGCTATATGCATCCGGATCCTGCTGGCTATCAGACGCACTACATGAACTACGCGCCGCGCTACGAGATGACGCACATGTACAATGGCTACGGCATGTACGATACGGTTGCTGGCGGCCAGACATCGCCCTACGGCAGCAGCAGCCTGCAACAGCAGCAGCAGCAGCAGCCCGGATCCCCGTCGCCGTACGGCAGCGCCGGACTGCAGCAGCCGAGCAATGGTTCGCCGGCGCCGTATGGTGCACAGATATCCTGCCAGAGTCACAGTCCCAGCGATTCCAGCATCAAGTCAGAGCCCGTTTCGCCCAGTCCCAGTGCGATTGCACTGAACAACAACAACAACAATAATAATAACAACAACAATAATAACAACAACAATCACATCATGAAGCGGGAATATGTGACATCGGCGACGGCAGCGGCGGCCGCAGCGGCGGCAGCAGCTGGCGCCGGCACCGATCTCAACAATCTGATGAACATGTATCATCTGCACGACGCGCCCGAGCAGCAGCGCCACCTGATGCACTACCAGACGGCGTCGCCGGAGCTGCAGCAGCAGTCGATGCAGCACGTGATGCACCAGCACCAGCAGCAGCAGCAACAGCAGCAGCAATTGGCCCAGCAGCAACATCCGCAGCAACAACATGCGCAACAGCAGCACCTGCAACAGCAGCAGCAGCAACACCAGCAACATCAGCTGCATCAGCAATCGCTGCGCGCAATGGCGCCGCTGGCACATATGTGAGAAATGGCCAGCGCCTATGGAGCAGCCGCCGTTGGGTCTGTGACGCCGCCGCCGCCAACCGTTGCTGGCGCGTATATGCCAGCAGGGGCCGTGCAAGCAGCAGCGGCAGCAGCAGCCGCACAGCAACAGCAGCAGCAGCAGCAACAGTTGCTGAATGGCCGGCCAAGTCCGACGGCGTCGGGTTCGGGCTCGTCGGGCGGCCGCTCCTCGGCGCATTCGAGTGGTCATATTGCCACAGCGCATTCACCCGCCTTGGGGGCGGCTGCTGTTGCCGCTGCCGCCTATCAGTTGTCCGCAACAACAACAGCAGCAGCAGCAGCAGCCACCACCTCCTCCTCCGCTGCCGCCGGCGGCGCCGCTGCCTCCTCCTCAGTCGCTGCAACTAGCTGCCAAGCGGCCAGTGCATTCGCGGCCTCGGCCAGCATGCTGGACATGCAACAACAATTGGAGGAGCAACAGCAGCAGCAGCAGCAGCACTACCTGCAGCATCAGCAACATCTGCAGCAACAGCAACAGCAGCAGCAGCAGCATTTGCAGCATCATCATCAGCAGCAGCATCCGCATCCGCATCAGCATCAGCTGTATCATTATCATGCCACGCATCCGCAGCAGCTGCATGAGGCGAGCGCTGGCTTGTTGGATATATCCACATTGTAAATTATTGAAAATATATATATATATATATATATAAATATATATACATTAATATATGTATAAATAGAACCTACACACACACACACACACATTTAGCGTTAATTGCAAGCATAAAACATAAACAATTTTTTAGCTTTAGTTGAACGAGAAAAACAAAAATTGAATTTCAATTGATAAATAAATACGATGATTATAATATTAAACGAAATGCATTTTACAATTAAGCATACGCACCGTTGTACCATACAAAGCGAACATCTTTCCACAATCCACACATTCCACAACTTGCATTCCACAAACAACATTTTTGCTAATGAGAAAACAACAACAACAACAAAACCTAAACGACAATTGTGTGATACAAAAAAATTGTTGCAAAAATACAAAAAAAAAAATTAAAATTAAAATTTAATATTTAAAAAAAATTGTTTCATGTTATTTTGATTTTTGTTTTTTTCTGCGCTGTACAAAACATATAAAAAAAAGAATTCGAATTTCTAAAGAAAAAAATGACACAAAAATAAGGAAGAAGCAGAGGAAGGAAAACAAATTCTATTTTATAGATTCTCTTATACATTAAGTAACTCTAATTATTATCTATTATATAAACAATTTAATTATAATTATTAATTATGCTTACGAAAATACTGCAAAGATGAAAAAAAAAAAAACAAAAGCATGAAAATAAAATAAAACACAATTAATTGTAATAAAAAGCATAAAAACAAAATCCATTATTATTATTATTATCATTATTATTATTATTATTATTAAAAGGCAAGCATCTACCACATAATATTAAAGAAGGAAGAAAAACAAAATTAATTATAATACAAACAAAATGTTAGTAAACCTAAAGAAAATTTAGTAAAAACAACTGAGAAAACCAGGCGCAAGGCAACCAACAAAAAGAAGAGTAAATGAAACAAAAACAAACAAAAAACAACACAGAAAACTGCTGCCAAAACGTCTGGTAAAAACACATTCAAAACCAGAAAAATAAACAAAACAAAAAAACACAAATAAAAAAAATCTTTACAAAAAAATATTTAAGTAACATTTTTTATTTACATTTTTATTGATATAAAACTTCTACTTTTAGATTTTTTTTAGGGTAAATATTTCAGTAATTAGAGACATTCACGAATATGAACGGAGCATATTAGTTTTATACAAAGTATGTTCGTCTTTCCAATCTTTTGACTGCAAACAGCTTTTGAGGCCAAGGCATGAGATTTGGAACATAATATTTCAAATGAGTCGTTTGATTTTCCTGATAAAGTTTTCAAGATATTCCTGATCTGCCCTTCTGTGACGGTTCAAATCGACAAATTCATCTTCCGGTATCTCATCAATCTATGAATTTGGAATATATACCTGGGTTAACAGTCAAAAATAAATTAAATGTAGCGAAGTAGATTTGAGCCCCATGTAGTAGAGGCGAATTGGGTAAAGCTTCTTTATCTACCTACTTTACTTTTAGAGCTAGACTCTCCAAATGTAATAATTGGATATTTTCTATTGATTTAATATACCAATTGGGGCATGACGAATTCGTTAATGGATCTGCAGGAGTATTCTAAAGTCGCCAATTCCCAAGCTGCAAAGTTCTTACTTGTTGGTTTTTTCTCCACTCGATTTGCCGTCGGCTCAACTAAATCCAAAGAAATGTTCTCTTATCTTTATTTCAACGTCACGTGTCAATTCGCTTGACATATTTATTTTTAAGATCTTCTTTTTTTGTTTATATACACGATTATAAATGTATACACATTTTCAATATCAAGTTCTATATTGTGTTAAATTAATAAAATGCTAAAATGCTATTTTGATATTTGAGATTTACGATGATATTTTATGGCGTTCACTTAGTTCCGTCAGCATACGAATTTGACTTGATTTCAGGATGAGCGGCCGCAGCGCAACGAAACCTGTTGATATGCATGTGATTTGCATCTTCTTACTCTTCTTCATCTCTATCTTCATGTTGTTGTGCCAGAATATTCAGTGGCTCTATAAAAATTCTTACTTCACTCTATCTCTACTTTAGTTGCGCTATTTAAAATACAAAATTCGCATCATTAACAAATGAAATGATTTAACAAAAAAACGTCGACCATTAAATGACATCAACAAACATAAACGAGCCACGACTATGTTTATTTTTCATTTATTTATTTTTATTACTTAGAATATCAATTTTATGATGTATTAAATTACCTTTTTAAGGGTCAACAGTCTGAAACCTAACAGTGCTAAACTGTTAAACATATGCAAAGACTTGAGCTGTAAGTAGAATTTTACCAGAAATACTGTTCGAGAATGTAAACAACAATTGAGCTTATTCTCTCTTTTGATAACACATTCCATTTTCTATTATCGATAAAAATAGATTGATTTTTTAACATTGAAGTTTTAATATTCATTAATTCAAAAATAATATTCAACTTTTGTTTTCGTAATGCCAACTGCTGATAAGATTTTTTCCGGAATATTCACAAAATTATTTATATTTACCAAACTGTAGCTGAAGATTTTGAAGCCTTGATAAACTCAAACTTGTTTTGCATATAGTTCAAATTTGAGTCTATAAATTGAATATTCATGAAAATTTCCTTACAAATGTATTCATGTTTTACTATTTAATTTAATTAAAAATTAATTTAAATTTTTACTAAGTAAGCTTGCCATTAACAACGTGCGTCATCAGGATTGGGCACACTTGAATATTTTCTATATTATAACGGCTATAGTATTAAAACTTGTTTCTGAGATACTTTGATTTATTTAAATTAAAGCAGAGTTCGGTATCATTTCAGAAAATAATTTTAAAGATATTTTTGAAAAAGATTTTATCAGAAACAGTTATCAAATATGTCTAAAAATATATCAGGTTGGCCCACTCAAATTTTGATTTGAATATCTCAGTCAAGTAACCAATAGCTCGAGGTATCCAATTTTTGGGGTAAGTGATGTATATATAGTAATATATAGTGCGATCTTTAGACAGAATGAATGCAGACAGACATAAAACTATATATATGTATATATATTTAATCTGTCTAGTTTTTCTTTGCTCTGGATCACCCAGCCGCAAAATATTAGTTATTATCAGCGGCTAATTTTAAAATCGTATTTTTTGCACTATTATTTACTTATTATTTTTTTTCTAATATTTATTTTTAAGCCCACAATTTACGTGACCGGAAGGCGGAGTTTTGTAGTTGTCGCCGTTGATTTAATGCTAATTATATTAATTTGCGATCTACTCGAGTGCATTTTGTGTACAAAAAATAGTTTACATACATATACATATTTGTAAATATATGTGTATAATTTTTTATATTTTTTATATGTATATATATAGCTCAAATGAAGTTAAGGTAATATTGACTCATCGAAATTTACAAAATTGTGCACAAACTTTCAAATAGATTTGACGAGTTCCACTTTAGCCTTTCCATTTTGATGACAATCCAGCGCATTTAGTTAGTTAATTCCACTCTAATTTTTATTTTTATATATGCCATACATATTTAGTTTACAAATGACCTCGCACTCTCATTAACAATCTATAACATTCATAAGATATTACTAATTTATGCCACAGACATCGGGGTAACAACTCGAAAATTGCCCACACTTTGGCCATTTGTACACAAAACGAAAGGAGAATACTAGTAAAACGACTTTTAAATACTCTATACACTCATTCACGAAATTGAAATGAGTATATTGGTATTGTGGAATTTCTGTCATACTATTCGTACAATACAAACCTTATGAATTTAAATATAAATAAGAACAATTCTTTCAAAAAATCTCTCGATTATCACGCTTGATTTATTATTGTAAATATTATCTATTATGCAGCTTTACCCTTGCCATGCATTTCATATACATAGATCCCATGCAACAACATAATAAAATTATAACACTTATTTATTATTTATGAAAATTGGCAATTCGGAAAGCAACAAAACACAGCTTTGGACACAAAGAGCTGAGCTGATGTCAAGACAATAAAAAAGCTGAATGTAATAATAAAAAGATTAGCAAAAAAAAGAAAACAAAGAAAAAAACTCGTAGACAAACAAAACAAATTATTTAAATTGTATAAATATTAAATAAACTTTGTCATTTTTTTATTTTTTTTCTGCTGATTATTGCAATTTTTATAAATGGCAGAAGAAATAAAAAAGGGAATAAAATTCGAGGGTAAAAAAGAAAAACAAATGTTGCACGGAATTGCAATTAAACTAAGCGAGGTCTGCTTATTTGATTTCAAAAGTAAACTATTTTATGTTAGTAGTTTTTTTCATAGTTTAATATTTCTGTTTCCAGGTATTTAAATATCATCGAAGCACCTCAGACTTTTTAAAATAAATTTTTAAATATAAGTCATCCTTGTATGTAAAAGTAATTTGCCATACTTATTAAACGTACCTCGTATATTATTAATATTTTTTAGGGCACTTTTTTTTAAATCAATTAGCTTTTAATTACAAATTATTATTTATTTTTTTTGTGCAAACCTATGCTTGATTAAAAATTCAATTTTGGTTTGATATTTTTTTGCATCTTTTTGTTTTAATTCGAATTATTATGCTTTTTTTTTGTGGACTTTGTGATCGACAAATGAAACGGAATTTACATTTTTCGCAACTGAGTTTTTGTTTTGGGATTGTTTGATGCATGTTGAAAGCTGCGATTGCTGAGATACATGCATAATTAAATTGCATAAAATCAAATTTATTTCACTTTTACGGACGACATTTGTACGCTCGACAAAGTACAACAGATATCGAATATCTATGGCCGTAGCTACAGCGATACATATCGCTGCGATGAAATTCGAGTTGTTTGACATGCAAATCGTTTGTTTATTTTGTTTTAGCTCAGAGCAATATTTGATTTAGATTTATTTTTATTTTTACTGCGGTTTCTGTTGACATTACTTGTGGTTGTTGTTCCCTCTCTCTCTCTCTCTCTCTCTCTCTCTCTAATTAGCTGAAATGCTGCGTCG